CCATAGCCCCAACAGAACCTATCTCATCAAGCATGTCCATGCATGACTTATCATCTACAAGCAGCCTCATTGCACTATTTAGCTTTGCACCAATTGGCAACCAGTACGTCCTAACAGATCTATGAAAGGTTGTGTGATCCAAAAGATGGCCACTGAGCTCTGGGATTGATAATTTATCCTTGTCTATGTGTGACACTCCCAAATCCTCATCACAATACTGCATCTGCGACCCATCAAGAACAAATTCCCCGTTGAAATGAAATCTAACAGTTAATACCTCGACATCTGCCATGTCAAAATCCGCCCTATAGATCCACTGCATGGTCAAATTCCATCCAAAAACGAAATCAAACTCAGATCCTACGAGTACAACTCGAACTCACCTTCAACCGTCGGTGCACCTCCGCGATCCAGGATCTTCACTCCACGGATTCGCCAAATAACCAAGAGAAGCCAGACTCCTCCCGTCCAGGACGTCGTCCACCCCCTCACGAAACCCTAGTCCTCATGTGCAGCCGCCATGGGGAGGGAGAAATGAGAGGTGGCTGCTATCCTGAACCTAATGTAAAAAGAAGAGAGGGGTAAAAGGGTCAGTTCAAGACAAATCGAAACCCTAGCTGACTGGGCGATGACAAGGCGGGCCAGCGTGGCGCTCCACGTCGGCAGAAGGACGAATTTGAGCCGTTTGAGAAGGTTGGAGGATTAAAACGGCCGTTTTTGTAGTTCAGGGACAAAAGTGAGCCTTGAGCAATACTTTGAGGACGAAATCGGCTATTCGCCATAGTTTTTACAACTCGTGGTTTCCCATTTCGTTCTCAACAGGCATCTTCTTGTGCTCGAGTCGGGTGTTGCACCTGAAATTGGTGCCACCTGTAAAGGCAGACGACATGATATATAAGTATTTGCAGTTACACATAGCAGCCGAGGTCACTTCCTGATTACATGTAATTATCTAACGATGTAAATTAAGATGGGAGACATAAACAGTCAACGATAATAGAAAAAATAATTCAATCAGGACTGCGGTGTCGACGTAGTCTTTGCGCAACAAAAGAAGTTTTTGTTTTGTTAAAATATTTTTAATATGAAATAAGCAACACCTTCGAGAGAGATTGAACAGAGGTTAAAGTGGTCATGGCCACATCCTTGCTACTATGTGAGGATGCCCAAAGTCCGAAATGTTCAGGGATAGCACCAAAAAATGCTGACAGATCAATATTCAGTAAGATCAGCCAAAAAAAGATCTTAACTGTTAAACATGTTTTTCTCCTGTTTGTTTTATGTTTGTGGAGTAGTAGCATATAGCTAGAAAATTATCCTGGCACATATGTGCACCAAAATAGTCTTGTTTACAGATTGTTCAGAAGCTAAACATGTGTTGATTGAGTATGAAAAGTAGATCACTACAGCATGTTGTTTAATAGGACACTTAAAAGTGATATCAAGTTTTCAGCAAAGGCACATTATGTTAATTTTATTATCAGAGCTTTCAGCAAGATATGAACAATATGTAATTTATAATGGAAGCAAAGGCACATTATGTTAATTTATAATGCAATCAAATTAGTAATTAGTAGAATCTAAAACAAACCTGAAAATTTGGTTTAAAGTTCTTCAGCTCCTTGTTCAGAGATTGTCGGACGTTATTACCTAATAGCATTGAGGACTTAATGCAATTAGGAAATGTATAACTCGGCAGGCAATATGATTGATTGTTAGAGCTTGCTTGCCCCTTTGTCCCACGCGCCTACCATTCAATTCACATAAAGGAGGTCATAAGGTTCAGAGAACAATATGGTAGACTACATGTACCCATGCACTCAATCGTTTGGTAAGCAAGAAATAATTATTTCCAAGTGTACTGAAATAAATCAAGCAAGCTATCAGATTATTTCAAAGGTTTGCCACTTCAAGCGCAATTTTGAATAAACAAACAGTAAACAAGTATTCTGATTTTGAGTTTTGGAGTTAGTAATCCTGCTATCAAGGATTAAATTTGTGACCAGACTGTAACACTTAAGTACTTAAGACATAGATGATCCCATATGTTTCAGAAAAAAATGTTACACCAAAAGAAGCTTATGAGCTTTAGAGAAAAGTATGGTTGACTCGATATGCAATTATGCATCCAACAAGTCAAGTCATTAAATTGTATAGAGTATAGCCATAGAAAGATAGCCGGATAATCTGAATACAAGTTTCACCCCAAAATTAGATCTATTCAGTAAGCATTTCACCTTGCAGGCATTTCCTCGAGCAGCTGTTGGGCGTCGTCCATGTGGGCGACCACTCCGTCTACTAGGGTGCGGGAGGCTGCGCAGCACTGGTGCCACTGCCCTTTTCCGTCATGTGCGGCTTACGCGTTGTGCTGGCGGGGGTATCAGGTACTGTACGAGCGAAGGGAGCAGCAGGGCAGGGGGGAGGCGCAGCGAGATATCGATTTGAGATAATTCCTTGACACTAAACAAATGATCCGTTTCTTCTTTTTTTTGCCCTTAAAAAATTTCGTTTCCTATTTGACACTGAGTTTAACTTTCATTTCTTATACGACACTCCGTTAAATTTTCCATCCGTGAACCATTAAGTGTCATGTGAAAAGACGATTTTGCCCATATGGGATTGGAGATGACAGTTAGAAAACCTACAAGAGCCTCTGCTTCTTTTTTTTCAAAAAAAAAAACTTTAGGTTGGGCAAAATCGTCTTTTCACATGACAGTTAACGGTTCACGGATGGAAAATCTAACGGAGTGTCGTATAAGGAATGAAAGTTGAACTCGGTGTCAAATAAGGAACGAAAAAAATTTAAAGGTCAAGAAAGAAACGGGTCATTTGTCTGGTGTCAAATAAGGAATTCTCTCTATGGATTTTGGTTCGAGAACTTGGTGGAGTGGAGTACGCCAATGGCGGAAGCAGCAACCGTCGAGGTGATTGGTGGAGGAGGGGCAGGCAGGGAAAGGACCTCCGACCCTCATCATCGTGGTGGCCGCACTGCCTCCGCTATCGCGGCTACGAGGGAGGCAGTGGCTATGGCTGGGTGAGGAGGCAGGACGGCGGCCTCCGTGGTTGGGGCGGCACCTTCTCGATGCTTGCGACTCGCGAGGCGGAGGGGATGAGGTCGCAGCCCGAGCGGGTTCGCGAATTTACGAGCCCCCGATTTTTTCGTTTAGTGGGTGACAGACCCGCGACACCCGTATCAGACGGTTTATGTTGTGAGATGGCTCGATCCTACGGTTAGAGGGTTATCGGGCGCGTGGCCCGATTCATATGCCCGCTTTTGGGGTGGGAATCGTATATAGAGATTTCATTTGTCCTGGCCCAGACCACTTGCGACAATGCTATTCTAGCGGGCCGAGGCTTTGTAGTTGTGGGAGTTGAGGTAGAAATTAAGGTGCGAATTTGATTTTTAGTTTAAATGTCTTTGTTTGTTATATGGAGGAAAATAGGAGAGAGAGCTGAAGAGACATATCCCTGTCTGGTGTGGTGTTTTTCAGTGGGAATTTATAAGACAAATCATGATCGACAGTGATACTACATTTATCTTTCATTCTAGCACAATTCTCACCCCTTCCCAAAAGTTGGAGTTTACTATCTAACTCATATCTATCTATCTATATCTCTTATAAAGTTAAACCTCACTATAATTTTATCTCAACATGCAAGACATCCACATCATTTCTCACTACCTATCCACATCACCTCCCACTAATAGCCATGGCATCCACTAATTTTCAATCTCTTAATGCAAGCTGTTCACACCACCTCCACTAAGCGCAATTTAATTTTAATATACTATAAGAAATACAGAGGGCATTCATATATTGCTATTTGTTTTGCCATTCCATCGTCTTATAATGATCTAATTCTGTTAGTTTTTTATTGGATTCTTTCATTGTTCACACCATTTCCACTAAGCACAATTTAATTTCAATATATAAGAAATATAGAGGGCGTTCATATATTGTTATTTATTTTGCCATCCTATCGTCTTATAATTTGATCTAATTCTGTTAGTTTTTCATTGGATTCTTTCATTGTGCGGTCAAATTTTGATGTGAATGGATATAAGAACATATATGTTTAATTTGTGCATGCAACAATTTTATTTCTAAGAAAGTTTCACAGCAACGCGCGGGGTATCCTTCTAGTTCTCATTATTTTTCTCAGCAAAACTCCTACAAAACAAACAAACATATAGATAGGCACGATGAATTCTATTATACCACCTATGTCCTAAATTATAGATCGTTTTGGTCGTTCTAGATACATATATTTTACTATAAGCCTAGATATACGATATGTTTAGATATACATAACAAAAATTGTAATGAAGGGAGTACATAGTATTATATTAGTCCTAACTAATTTCAATCGTGTCTGCAGACAATACTAGTACGGCCAGAAGATGCAGGTCGTTGTATTATGACGTGAGACCGAATGGCCTAGATCGAGCATGTCATTTTGGAGACAAATGCATCATTGCGTATCCTCGGTTCACCGAAATTGATCAAAGTACTATTGACTGCCTTGTCTACCAGATTAGGGACTTGTATTGTTTCAATCTGTAATAAAAATTGTAACATGGTAGTTTATTTAGCAAGATATGGCGAGCTTAAACCTCTGGCTCTAATGCATCGATGAGCGTCACAGACTCCTTAAACTATAATCTGCCTGAATGCAAAGCCTAATACATGTTCATGGCTAAACATTGCTATGCCACAGTTTAGGTTGTTGTTTGATTCTTTACAAGTCTACAACTATAACTTGTCATACCTATGATTCACCTGTTGTTTGATCCATCTTTGTGCTAAACTATACCTAATGTACGATGAAGAAATTGTTAATCCCACATTTGGTAATGTTTTGGCAAAGAAATGTGGCAATAGGTGATCACATCTGTAATTCTGCCGTTCAAAGAAAAGAAAAATCCAGTAACCAGTTGGCGAACCTTCCGCATTCTTCCATCCCGTTCCACACACATCTTGCCGCGCCCGCTCGAAGAGATGCTCCTCCGCCACCGCCACCGCCACCGCCACCACCTCTTGTCGCGCCCGCGCCGCAGTTCCCCTCTCGCCGCCCTGCGTTGCGTCGCCATGTCCTCCTCCGCTTCCCCCTCTTCCTCCACCTCTACCTCCGCCGCGGCCGCCGATTACCACTGCCGCACCAAGCACAGTCCCACCGCCGGCTACGCGCGCGGTCCGGGCCGCCTCGACTGGGCCAACCAGCCCAACCCCTTCCTCCGCTTCTCCCCCGCACCGCAGCTACCGCTCCCCAACCCGCCTCCGGTCGCCCCCGTCCCCTACCCTGCCCTCTTCCACTCCCCGCCCCCGGCGCCGCAGCCGCTCACCGTCGACTCCCTCTCCGCGCTGCTCTTCCACTCCCTCGCGCTCTCCGCCTGGAAGTCCGCGGGCCTCTCAACCTGGTCGCTTCGCGTCAACCCCAGCAGCGGCAACCTGCACCCCACCGAGGCCCACCTGCTCTTCTCGCATCCGCGGGAGGCCGGCCGCCTCGCCGTCGCCCACTACGCGCCCCGCGACCACCTCCTCGAGGTCCGCGCTACCGCACCAGTAGGGGATCGTTCCGCGATTCTGTCTGCGCCGGGGATAGCGGTCCTGGCGCTATCGTCAATCTTCTGGCGAGAGGCGTGGAAGTACGGGGAGCGGGCGCTGCGGTACTGCAATCACGACGTGGGGCACGCGCTCGCGGCGGTGGCGGTGGCCGCGGCCACGCTGGGTTGGGACGCGCGTTTGCTAGATGGGCTGTCGGACGAGGACCTCGGGAGGCTCGTCGGGGTGGAGAAAGGCAGCCCGGCTGCCCCTCCGGAGGGGCTGCCTGACAAAGTGGTCAAGGGTAAGGCGCCGTGGGTGGAGCGGCAGCATCCAGATTGTGCTGTTCTGCTATTCCCAGCTGGGTCTGAGCCTGAGGTCGACTATGGCAGAATGAGTGAGGCGCTGAGGGGGTTTGATGGGCTGGAGTGGGTGGGGAAGGCAAATGCACTTAGTAAAGATCATGTGGTGTGGGATGTGATATACAGAACAGCAGAGCAAGTGAAGAAGCATGGTCCTGCCCCCGGGGAACGGTTCTTTGTGATGCCATGGCAGAAGAGTCCAGCCTTGTCCAATGGACTGTATAAGGAATTAACAGTGCAGGAGGTAGTACGGCGGAGGAGAAGCGCGGTGGACATGGACGGCGTGCATGTGATGGGAAGGGATACATTTTACCAGATGCTGATGCACTGCCTCCCATCAGGGGAGGTTGGATCAGGTGAGCTGCAAGGGCAGCAGAGTGCTCTGCCGTTCCGTGTATTACCATGGGAAGCGGAGGTGCATGCTGCACTATTTGTGCATCGTATCTCAGGGCTGCCAAGGGGGATGTATTTCCTGGTCAGGAATGAGGAGCACTTTGATGCGTTGCAGCATGCCATGAGGCAGGACTTTGAGTGGGTTAAGCCAGAAGGATGCCCTGATGGCCTCCCACTCTACAGACTGATGAAAGGGGACTGCCAGAAGTTTACCATGCAGGTCTCATGCTTTCAGGTATATGGAGATGTCAAATGGTGTTGTTTCAGGCTATTCATTTATAAATTATACTTAGCATTTGCTATGCACTTAGACATACGATGTCTAGATACATAGTTAAAGCAATATATCTAGAAAAACCTAAACGTCTTATAATTTGGAATGGGGGGAGTATTTGATTTCCTTTATTATTTATGCTGTTGTTTGCTGTGCTCAGATTTGCGCATTCCACCATTAGTTATGTTGTTTATCCAATTGATCGTGAAACTTATGCTAGTACCTGCAGATATTTTAGTATCTATCCTCTTTTGTTTTTTTATACAGGAAATTGCCTCGCATGGGTGTTTTAGCCTTGGGATGATTGCTAGGTTCGAGCCTGTGTTGCATGAGAAAGGTGAATGGATGTATCCTCGTTTGTTCTGGGAGACTGGCATTCTTGGTCAAGTGCTTTACCTCGAGGCCCATGCTGTTGGAATATCTGCCACAGGAATTGGATGCTACTTTGATGATGCTGGTAAGTTGAACTACCATTTTAATAGCTCAATCATAGTTTTGTACTTTGCTGGTTAACCATGGAGGCATTGTTTCTATTCAGCAATGGTCCTCTTACATTAGCTGATATCGGTGCAGGGAGTGTCTACCAATGGTTAAGAACATAATATTTTTTTTGAACTCCAATACACTCCAGTCAATTTGCTCTAAAAAATCTCCCATGCTGTTCACAACATAGAGGAGCAAATCCCAGTTTTTCTATTGAGCTTTGCAGTTTATGAACATTAAAGATCTGGTGATCCATGAGTAGGGTGCTCAGCATTTTGTTTTTGTTCTTCGAACAAGCAGTATCATTTCATTAAAGAAAGAGTAACAAGTGCAATACCAACCCCACCCCTTACAATATCAATAGCATATTGGTAAATGAGGAACATTTTACATGCTATAAACGGACTCTGTTAAATACTAAGCACATACTTTGCTAAAATAAGGCAAATATTGTTTGTGAGATTTATCTAATCAGTCCACTATCTTCGCTAGTCTTCAAGAATATTGGTGCCCATTACTTGATTCCAATACCCTTATCTGTATTGTACAAAATTGCTTTTAGAATGATTTATCGTCCATATTGTTCTGTAGCAGCTGTTGTGCTATTCACTAATCCAGCTGAGAGGGCAACACTACTTGGAAAAATAGAATGATTAGAATAGTGTTTGTTTTTGTCATGTGTTTGGGTTCTTTTATTCAAGTCCTTGTAGGAGAAATAACTTTTGTTTTATTAGAGGTAAGACCCCCTATGTTTAGAGATTGTCCTTAGGGTAAAGCCTAGTTCATTTAAAAGTGACACCACTTATCTCAAGATTCTGAAACCACCATATGCACATACCAACGAAACACAAAACAGATTAAATACTTATCTCATTAGAGTATTTCATGCCTCAATTAAGCATGCTGCTACTAGTTATTACTACTATCTTTTACAGAATCAAAGTATAGGTAGCTTGTGGAAATATCACAATGATTGCTCTTGATTTCCTGATTGGATTGACTTTTTGAAACAATACCTCCTTGTACACTAGGTTTATATTTGAAATGGTGGAAAGTATTATTATTCACCCAATGAATGAACCGCACTTCACTTCCCCAAATCCTAACCTAAATTCCACCTTCAGGTGGTGCAATAAGTCATGCCTCACAACCGAATGTTGTCAATTGATCCCTTGTAAAATTTGAACATGAAGAATGACTATATTTAATGAATAGAAGGAGGATGTATCATAATAGGCATAGCTCTAATGACTGATGCGTGCCCTATTCTGGCTCTAGGTATTGTATAATTGCTGTAGATATGCATTTTAGTCCTAACAGTGCAGTAGTTGATATTGTTTTATAAGTGTTGCAAATCAAATGTTAGTTTAACAAACACATTTTTGTGATCAATGTTGAATCATGATGGGATATCTGCGCTGCAGATAACCTTGCTTGGTTTAGAGTGTGGTAGTAGGATAGGTGATATAGATTGACCCAGATAACTGATGGGTTACGATGAGACTTCTTTTTGCTTCCATTTGTTCACAAGACTATTTTATATGGGTCAGTCTTCTTGAAACCAAATAAACAACTTCTTCTAAACTCAGAGCGCAACTCAACTTTTCAGCTAAATACAAAAACCAATCATTGGCTATTTGACTCATTGTTATCTGTAATTTCTATGAAAAACTGAACTAGTGTCATCTAGCTGCTTGTTTAAAAGCATCTGATGTTTTAGTTTGATAGTTGATTGTGTGAGACCCATAATAATTAGAAACGAGATAGAAAGTGTTTTAGATGTTAATTCAGTTTCCTTGTAGGCATATTTGACATAGTTTACATAAGTTTCCTGGGGTTAAAGGGTGTTCGTTAGATTCTGAAGGATAGCCTTTTGTATCCTTTTTGAATCAAGCAAGAACCAAGAATAATGAATTACTCTTGCCATAACCGAGAAGTTCCCTTGCATACATTGTCTATCTCCTTATACCTTTAATCCCTTAAAGCGATGCTATCTGGTTTTCCTTAGCCTGGTGTGAATTAACACTCACAACAGAGAATGAACTAATTATCATGTCCGTCACTGTCAAATGTCCTGAAACAAAATCGGTTTACATGCCCCTATGCACCCAACTCACTTGTCTCACCACTAGGTGTCATCAATTTCTACATATTATGTCATTTACACCTATTTCTCAGAAATTTGGTGAAAGATAAATATGCGTTAATGCTTGAGCACATGACTAAGCTCTAATCATGTTTTCCTAATAGTTCAGCTGTCCAGCTTAAGAATGACAATCATCTCAACTACTCAATTGATCAATTCTTTCATTTAATATTTTGTACAGTGTTACATGCAAAATGTTTAGTTTTTTTGTTCATGAAAAACATGGGTTGGCATTAGATACATCTTTGCAGCACATTGCTCGATTTTTGTGCCCAAGTTGATTGTTCCTATTCACCTCTTGTCACCTTGAAGCACAAGGTCACTTCTGATTTATGATACTTGTTTTTTTTTCTTTATTATAATCCATGATGACATCTTGAATACGCCCTCTCGTCATTATTTCTCTAAGTTTCAGACAGCAGGGTACAGCTAAATGCAGGCTAACATGGCTGTCTGAAACGTCAATCATTATTGACCCGAGACAGTAATATTCTCCATATTTCCAGTCAATTTAGAGAGTTGGCAATAGTTTAACCGTCCACTGTGATAGCTTCTAATTTTCTAGAATTTTTGTGTAGATGCTAATTTTCTAGATTTTTTTTTTTTTGTGTAGTTCACGAGGCACTTGGCTTGAAAGGTTTGGAGTTTCAAAGCTTGTACCATTTTACAGTGGGCGCTCCTGTGCTTGACAAGAGGATAATGAGTCTCCCAGCTTACCCTGGTCCCGGAATTGACGCATGATTTTTGCCTTGGGAGTATTTTCTGTCGACAGATCAACAAGAGAACAGAGGAACCTGACTATTTTGTTTTATGTATAGTGGCATGCCTGAGATGTATACATACCCCCAGTACTACCCACTCTTATTTTTGTAGTGGTTAGCCAGGATGATCTTATGTTGCACCAGCGTAATATTGGTACAGTATGTTCGGACGTTCCAGTGTGATTATTCTGGTCCTCAACCAGGTATGTAGTTTTGTATTGTGCAACTGATTTTTTTTTTTTGCCACATTACTAGAATAACCAAGGTGTACAAAAATGTGGAACTAGCTATGTAAGAAGAAAAATCATGGAACATAAACTGTAAATCCTCTTGCGGCTATACAATTGGAGCGTATTTCTGCATGTGCAGATTCGTTTCTGTCCCCTGTCCAAACCAGCTGGCGTCTGTAAACTGAATGTGTGAATCTACCTGCTTTTTTCATTGAACCCTGTATTTGCTTTTGACGTCTTCTTTTGAAGGGAATTTGCCACAGTACGTGCTATATGGCTTCAGATATGCCTTGCCCTGGTTTCGAATATACATTCCATGCTATAGCTATGTTTATGAACTTTAGTTTCCTGTCGAGAAAGATATGGATGCTGAGCATCTTTTACTCCATTAACATTGACGTTGATCCTACAGAAGACGGTGACGCCAAGGACCTGGATTTGTTTGATATCCATCTCCTTGCTCATAGCCTAGTATCACAGGCCTCTTTGGTTGTTGTACTAGCCATGCACTTAAAAATGAACTCCTGGGATTGCTACCAGAGAAGCAATTTTTTCACGATCCAATTCAATCAGGTCATTACTGCACAGGCTATAATTGTTGACACCTAGGGTAATGGCATACAAATTAAGATCATAAACAGGGAATTGGGCATAGCCAGCAAAACGGTACCAATACACTCAAGCAAGCAAAACGCACCGCGCACTAGTTATGTCATTGGGCGTAGTACAAGAAGGTGAAAATCACCGGGAACGAATCATCCAACTTTGTCGATTTTGAGAGACGGCCGTAATGCAATTATTTGTTTTCTATGAATAGCTAAATGATGCTAGATTTAAGTTTTGGATTGAACTGTTTTTTTTATTATATCTCGCTGAAATAAGTGGTATAATTCTCTTGGGCATAAGAGATGAAGCCGAATTTATTTCCTCTATCTAAGAAAAATACCGTGTTTTGAAGAAAAAGAACATTCAATCCAAAAAGTCAAACACTTTTACTTTAACCAAATTTATATGAAAAATATTAATATTTATAGTATATAATTAATGTCATTAGATAAATCGTTGAATATGTATTTTTATAATAAACTTATTTGGAGATATAAATGTTATTAATATTTTTTATAAACCTAGTTAAACTTTTATCAACACAATTTTGAGAGTGACATTTTATTTTTAGAACGGAAGGAGTACTCCCCATTACCTCCAAAAGGCTCCACACAAAACATTTCGGCTCTCCTGTGCCTGCTTTGTTATCGACCCCCTGACTCATGGCGCATGAATGCATGCGTCCGTAAGTGGGTGGGCGCCGATCCATGACCACGACTCCCCGAGCCCCGACCCTCATGCCTCATCTTTGGTTCTTGGTTTCGTCCGTAAGGGCATGTTTAGATCTAAAAATTCTCATCATAAAGTGTCACATCGAATTTTACGGCACATATATGAAGTACTAAATATAGATGAAAAAAAACTAATTACACAATTAGGTGAGAAAACGCGAGACAAAACTTTCAAACATAATTAGTCTATAATTAGACACTAATTATCAAATACAGACGAAAGTGCTACAAGTAAAAAAAAAAAAAATTTGGGAACTAAACGCTAAGTTGGTTGGTTGGTTGGCGGCGGCGAACATGCGGTGATGGGCGCGCAGTGAAAAGACGCAGCTGCAAAGGCAGGCAGAGGCAGTGATGGACCGCCACTAGCGGCGTCGTGCCCTGCTACAGTGCACACCACCACTTCACGTCCAAGCCACTCTTGACTCCTCTCTTGAGGGCTGAGGCCACAGAGTCACAGTGGCACACCACCACTTGGGCCTTGTTTAGATGCCATCTAAATTTTGAGTTTTTCACTCAGTCACAGTAAAAAAATAACTAATTATACAGTTTAGTTGGAAATCACAAGATGAATCTTTTGAGCCTAGTTGGTCCACGATTGGACAATATTTATCAAATAAGACGAAAATAATACTATTCATCGAGTTCAAAAAATTTGCAAAGTGAACAAGGCTTGATCGTTATCGCGGCAGGTTTATTCCTGTTCTTTGACTTGCTCTGTCCACATTAGGAGTGACTGCAATGCTCAGACTCAACGTCAGGGGGCACCGTGTCAATTGTTCGACACGATTGTTTACAGTACATTCTCTACAGTTATTACACGGTACGACTACACTTTTGGTATCCACTCGTGCCCCTGTATGAAGTTGGCGACGCTGTAGGCGTCGACGTGCTCCTTGGGCACCTGGCTGCTCCACGCCACTCTCCGGCTCGCCGCGCCGCCGCCGCCGGGTCCGGCGCTGTCGTACTCGCCGTAGTAGAGCGTCTTGAGCGCGAAGTCCCCGCTCCAGGGCATCCACCCTTGCGGCTGCACGATCTCCGAGAGCGTGCACCCGAGGTACACCGTCCGGGAGTACTCCTTCCAGGGGCGGCCCAGGTACACGTGGTGCACGCCGGGGTTCTCGCGGTACAGCGCCAGGTACTCGTCGCTGCCGTTGACGTCGCAGCGGCTGAGCACGATCCCCGTGGGCTGCGCCGGGTCGGTGCGGCCCTGCGCCGTGACGGCGTCGTTCTCCCCCTTCTCCGGCCGCAGCTGCCGGGGCAGGACCACGAGCGCCGTGTCGTGGAGCACGGCCGCGGAGTTGCCGAAGACGAAGTCGACGGTGCCCGCGACGCGGCACCGGGTGTAGAACTGCCGCATGGCGTGCGCGTACAGCGTGTCCTGGTGCCCCAGCAGCTCCACGCCGTCCAGCACCGTGCGGTCCCCCGTGGACCGGAACGCCACCGCCTGGTGCGCGTCGGGACCCGCCGTGTTGGCGATCGTCAGGTCGCGCGCCATGAACCCGTCCGCGAGCACACCTGCACCAGGAGTCCATGACACACGGAGTACGAGTACATGAGTGGTGGTGGAGTGCACGAGCACGACAAAGTTTGTTCTCGGTGGACACTGTAGGCGAACCACGACACGCGGCACGCCTTTTCCTTTGTGGGGCCGACCGGAGCACGGGAAAGTTGAGTGTTTGCGTAGGCTAGGACTAGAGCAGGCTCGTGAGGCTAGTACGCTACGCCGCATTGTCTCTTCCCGGCACGGACCACATCACATGCATTGCCGGCCAGGCCACATACAGTGTTTGAGCTTGCTACTGTTGGAAAGTGAATCCACTTGGATTTGCCTGTAGCACGTACTGATTGACTATCATGAAATGAATTTGTTGGTAGAGATTTACTGCCAACAGTTATCAAATCATCATTTACTGACATAGTAGTAACAAATATATTAGGCAGATTGATTGCTTGACACAAACACTAGAGGTGCTGCTTCTCTGTTTCGAGTGCTAAAAATGCTGTCCCAGCTGCCTAGTCAAAAAAAAAAGGAAAAAAACCACTTGCAGTGTGCGCCGTGGCCTAAATAAAGGCTACCGCTAAAGCAACTTCACCACTAGACCTTTCTGGAAGCAACTTTTATATATGTTTATCTAGGTCACATTTGATAAACGAATGACCACAAAGTATTTCGACAACTCTTACGTCAAAACAGTATTTCCACAACTTCAATCTGGTGAGCTGAAACTTACGTACAATTGTCGAATTAGCCAACTAATCCTTCACAGTTCAAAAACGATCGTACGTTCACTTGGTCATGTGCCATATGCCGGACGGCAACGTACAAAGCAAATCAAACGTAGGGCTGCGTCACAACATGTAATCCACGGAAATCGTTTTCGGTGCGGACAACCGGCTACCTTAATGCTCGGGTCACGAGATCGCATTGATTCCATGCAAGCACACGCGTACGACGCCGAAGAGTACGCTCGTTCATCACTGTAGTGTAGACGTACGTTTCGCATCCAGCAGGAAAGGGGGTGAAATACGCATATTATACGCACCTACGGTGGCGGTGTTGAAGGTGGACACGCCGGACGTGTCGGCGTTGAGATCGCCAGTGATCACCGTCTTCCCCATGCCGTCGCCGACGAGGACCACGTTCGTCTTCTCCCACGGCACGCTCACCGTCTCCCTGTACACCCCTTCCTTCACGTGCACCACGAACGCGCCGTCGCCGTAGTCCGGCGCGGCCGCCACCGCCTCCCGCACCGTCCTGTGGTCGCACCCGGCGCCGCCGCACACCGTCGCGTTCGCCGGCAGGCCCTTGGGCACGCCGAGCGCGTCCACGTCGTCGGCCTCCGAGGTCGCGGCGGCGGGGGGCGGCCAGTACCCGTCGCGCTCCGTCTGCGGCGGGCGCCAGAGGGACGTGTCGTCGCCGTAGCGCTGCCGCGCGGCGAGCATGGAGATGTAGTTGCTGTTCACGGTGATGGTGGCGTCGAGGTAGGCCATGGCGTCGGAGATGGTGCTGGAGAAGTTGACGTACTTGTACGCGGACCAGCAATCGTAGAGGTGGAGCAGCGCGGTGGAGGCGGAGAGCAGCGACGGCGACGGGGACGACGGCGAGAGGCGGTGCGAGGAGAGCGCGAGGAAGGTGAGGCAGTTGGTGGCGGCGTTGGAGAGGTTCACGTTGGAGGAGGACGCCAGGACGGACTTGGCCGTGGAGACGGCGGGCGGGAGGCGCGCGCGGAGCGCGGAGAGCGTCGCGGCGAGGAGGTCCGAGGTGGAGGCATCGGAGGCGGCGCCGGAGAGCGTGGAGACGCAGGCCGGTTGGAAGCGGGTGGCGTTGCAGGCCAGGAGGACCGCTAGTGGCGCCGAATCAGAAGACGCCGGGGCCGGCGCCGGCGCCGGGGACGCGGACGGGGTGCGGTGGCGATGGTGGCGGGAGGAGAGGGAGACGGGGAGATGGAAGAGGACGAGGACGAGGAGGGGAAGGAGTCGAATTGCAGGAGGCATTGGTGATGCTTGGACGGCGTTGTGTGGGCGCGCCACTGTGATGAGCGGAGTCGCTACTGACCGCGCGGCGGCCGGGTGGTTATATTGCGGTTGCGGATGGAGATGGCTCGGTTGGAGTCTTGGAGAAGGGAAGGGTTGAGTGGTGATTTTGACTGGTGCAGATGTAACGGAACGGAAAGTAGGGAGGAAAGCATTCATGTCTCTCGGATGTGGATCGTTCCTGATGATTCCCATTTTTTTCTTGATTTGGCTAGATAACATAAGGCATGTCTGGGACTATAGTCAATACTTCATGGCCTTCTAACAATCTGTTTGGATCAGCTGCTAAAAAATCAACTAAAAATCTATCTAAATATGTCTTAATTACTTACGGCCCAGCTAACAATTAGATACTAACTGGTTTCTTCTAGCTAACACAGCTAATAATTAGCTGGATGGATCTAAACATGGCCTAAATCTCCATCCTATAGATTACTATGAGCTTTGGCCACTACTCCCTCCTTTCTAAACTATAATTTAATTTAACTTTGGTGTAAGTTTATTCTACCTTTGACTAAGTTTATATAAAAATATCAACATCTATATTATTAAAGTAATTTCATTATATTTCTAAAGACACGTTGATTGCTTATTTATTTAAAATTGCATTTGTTAATGTGTTTAAAAAATAGCTTGGTTAAAAATAGAAAAAATAACTTAAAACTAAAGTGAGCTATAATTTGGAGCTGATTAGGAATAATAATTATCTATGCCTACATAGTGGTATAGATAGAATCTATTATTTAAATCAAAGCTTCAGTAATAATTTTTGAGACAAGGCATTTCTGGGGTGAAGATTTTCATTTTAGGCTATCTTCTAAATCCTTTTTAAGGATTCAGTGTGCATCTACTTGTTGAGCATGATTATCATGAGCATTTGCATATAAAACTCTAATTTTGCAACTATATGTTATGTACCACTGAAAAACTTGTATTTTTGTGTAATAAGTGACGGTTCGGCAACTGCTCAGTCAGTGTGACAACTTGGCCAGTCAGTCAGCAAAAGTCGTGCTCTATCTTCATATTTGTGATCATATAAAATTTCATTCTCTCACTATCATATAGATATGATTTCAACAAATGAGACCATAGATGTATATCTCTTTCTATTTTCAACTTATGCATTCTCACAAATTGTAGGAATAATCTTTCTCTTATATCATTTGATCTTTACTGAACCATACAAATATTTTTCATGGGACTAAACAACTTTTCAAACACTTAGCCAAACTCATTAGTCTCTTAATCGTGTTGTCACTTGATTCACCAAAACCTACTTAAGACCTAAATGCACTTTTAAGAGATAAGGCAGCCTAACTTGTCGTTATACTATAAGGTAGGACTCAGCCTAACTTGTCGTTCAGACTAGAACGTTAAGACTAGAAAACAGTTCCTAGTAGGTCTTAAAGTATAAGTAAACTCTCCATCTTTTTCTGTCATACCCACAAATACATTGACGCCCCACCAAACATCCACATATCAATATACCATTGAGCTATCGATTTAGCACATAACCCACCGTCATCACTATACATACACAACCCCATAATCATTACTGGTGATTAAAAAATGGCATTTAAATAGTTATAAGCTTCGAGTAAGATCTATAAGTCTCGGCTAAAAGGTATTCACAATGGCTCCTTTTTTCCAGCCTACCAATCTCGAGCTAAAACAAACTCCACAATCTACATGCTCAAAGGAACATGGCCAATTACTTCTTAACTTAGGTCTTATTTGGCATAGTTCTAAGTGGTTTTTGGCGTTTTTTAATGTGCGGAAGAGCTAGAGTCGATGCAGCTAAAAATAATGACCTCTCATCGACTTCTGGTTTATTTTTTTTAAAATAAAAACATTTTCTTACTAAAATACGGAGGAGCTGTAACCAGAAACGGCTACTAGGAAACGGAGGAGCCGCAACCGGAGACGGACAGAGCTCCGGCGAACGTCGACGGCACGTGCCGTCAGGGACACTGCTAATTGCACAACCGTGCACGCCTGAAGGCGCCTGGTTGCCTCTACGGTCGGGTGCATCGATAACCTGATTACTCTCTCCGTCCCAAAAACAAGAAATACTTCTATGAATTAAATAAAAAGTTGCACTTCAATTAGTTATGAAATTTTTTGAGAATTACAGTGAAGATAGATCATAAAATCTACAATTTATAGTTTTAATTTTTTTCATGATGAAAAATTAAGTCTGCACATATATCCCTCAAATTTTATAGAAAAATCAATAATCATTATGGTTTTACGAGATTTCAAAAAAAGTTAAGAGTTAAAAAGATAACTAGAGTTGATTTGTCTCATATGTAGTTGTGCTCTTATTTTGAAAAAAAATTTAAATTCTAGAAGTGCACTCCTGTTATGGGACGGAGCAAGCAGTCAATTTGGCACGATAGCTGCCGCCTGCCGGTTTGGAAATGGACAAAGAGACTACGGCGACAGGTGACCCTCGCACCGTGGTCTGCTGCCACATAGCAAGAGCGCAGTTTGTTTGATCTGTCATGTGACGGAGGTTCTGTCAAGCAAGGTCCCAGAAGCTTTCTACCCACGCCCCACAGGATAACGGCATATTTAGCATGGCCGCGGAATGGAGATGGGTGTTTTTTTCTCTTGTTGGGAGTTGCGAATGCGAGCTTGCCCACCTGGCCAACCCCCGTGAGGATCAAACTGAAATGGTCGGCGCACCGGCCACAGGCTGAACTGAGGACAGGGAGCACCGGAGCAGGCGCTGATGCAAACGCGCAAGCCCACAATGTTCGTTCTGCCTTTAGTAAAAGCTGAAAAGAAAGACAATGGACAAAGACGTTGCATATTCATAGCTGTTTCTTTTGACGATGTGCCTGATGAATGCACGTCCTGTGCATAAGAATTGAATTTCCAAAGTTTTGCAAATGAACTGTTGTTACATACAGGTTGCCACTTGTGATGTGCTTCTATGCCTAAACAGCCAAAACAGGAAATGACACAAAATTCTATGCCTCAGGAGATGTGCAGACCTATGTGACCGAGGGGGAAAAAAGGTGAACATAACACAACTTGGTGGAAGATGCTGCTGCCCACAAGGATTCTTGCAGCAAAGAAAAAAGAAATTACGAAGCAGGGAAAAAAGGTATACCATGTCAATAGTCAGCTAGCTGGCACTCGCCAACCTGCAGAATCAGACAGCAAAAACATCAGATCACCACCATTGAACCGCATCATGGTTCATCAAGCAGAAACAAAAGGCAGATATGCAATATGAAGCTCTATCGAATTCTGTGACTCGTTGATAACATTGGAATAGTTCTATTTACTCAAACATACATTTCCTGGAAGAGTTACTCCGGACAACTTTTCTTTTGCCATGTAGCTTTTCTTGCATGCTCTCAAAGAAAGAGTGAGTCTCTTGAACCCAGGCCAGCCGAGCATCACATGTGCGCAGCTAAAACACCTGAGAATTCCATTAGAGAGCACCCATGTCGCTCTCAACTCTCGAGCATAGAACTCGGGTGGGCTGGGAATTCATAGTGAGCCCCAACCAGAATAACATTGCCGATGAGTTTCTAAAGGCATTAGTTACTTATGCATATTATAGATGCAGTTTCTCTAATATTCAAACTATTCGGTTTTGACACTTGACAATTTCCAAGCTCAGATCTACGAATCAATTGAGCACGGTACTGTAGAGGAATCATGATGGCAGTAGGCATCACCAAAGATGTGTGTTTTGCATTGCATATTACAAAGTTCAGTATTTCCAGATTACATCCCAAGTAAAAATTGCTTGTGAGAAAAGACAATTCTGTGCTGTTACAAAATATTTTACTTGGATGATTTAGGAACATTTATAAAAAAATCATATAAGAATGTTTGTAAATAAGGAACTCACCATTTGTCAAAAGGTGGGAAAATACAAGCTCGTTCCAAGCATCTGGAACTCCTGGAAGGCACCAGTGGCTGCAATCAAGTATGGTATTAGGATGACTCCAAAGGCCAATATGAGCATCACTTCTAAAGGCCCCCATCAAAGTCACATTTAGTATGGTCACAGGGACACTCATATTTGCCACAACACCAGCAAGTATATCCCCAAATTCTCTCCTGTCATTTCCATTGGCCTCAGTTGTAGGTTGTTCTGTTACTTCACACACCTTTTGATTTAAGCCACTGTAAATGTGAAAATAATCAATGAGTATATACTTTCTCAAAATGACCTGTGTACAATGCATATTAGCTTTTTGAATAGCCACATAATAATAATGCAACTTAAAGGATCTAGTGGTCTATATCTTCATTTTGAATTGTACAGTGATCTATATCTTCATTTTGAATTGAACTTACTCAGTTACTCCTCAAATGCAATAGAGAAGAAAGTAAACCTCTTTTGTATGCTAGAAAAACACACCTCCAATGAGACGGTTCATATGTACGGAAGAATACTCGTGTTCGCCTTAAATCGATTCTCTCTTTCACCCATGAAGCCCAAGTTTCCAATGCCATTTTGAAAGCTGCATTAATGGATGTTCCCAGTTTAAGCACACCTCCAGCCTCAAAATAGCAACCCCTGTTGCAAAGATCAAGCTTGAAAATCAAACATATATGAAGTTGGCGTCAATGCAGATCAAGGAACTACGATGGGTTACACCTTATAATAACATTTCCATTGAGAGCTACTCAGTAGCTACCCTACCAAAGCTAAGCATTCAAAAGACTAAACAAAACTAAAGTTTCAATATCGCGCCAAAAAATAGACATGTTTATTACTATGTCGTGATCTTAGAAACATGGACACGCCAATAAGCCAAAAGAATACAAGAACAAAACGCCAAATGAGAGAAGCACTAGGCTTTACTTGTTATTGTCAAAATCATAAGGTCCACTTGGAGCCCGTATTTTTTTAAATGAAACCTAGCCAATATTCAGACAGAGACAGAGGTATCAACATCAACCAGAACAAATGAGATGACAGGAGGACCGAGGACCTAACACTCTTTCATGTTGCTCTGACTTCAAGAAACAACTGAACTGATACAACACTAGCTCTCAAGGTAATCACATCGAACTGGAGGCCAGATTTTAAATATCTCCTCAGTGCTTCACTACCTCGTGTAAGAATGCACCTCACCATTGATTCATGATAGGATAAGTATAACTTGTTTGAATTCTTGTGAAAAATAACAGTTTATCCTCCTTTAATCCTACAGAGCTCCTTAGAAGTTCAAATAGTACATGGTGGTGGCATCTTCCATAGGAAGTTAGGAACAACGTGCTAGCTATTTAATGGCGGTGGCATCAATTTTCATGGACAGTGATGAGTGAAGGGATACATGTTGGTAACAAATCAGATGACTGAAAGTCAGCTAGTTATAACATAAGAATTAGAAAAGAACAAACTGTGCTACAAATTAAGTAAGAGAACTCACATGTCAAATAATTTGCTGGCAGTCCACCAATGCCCTGAGTTGAAAATAAGAACATCTGAGTTTGCCCATTTCTGACTTAAATCATCCAACTTATCAAGCTTGAGGATGGCACGGACCCTTCTGCGCCCATGGCGAAGCGCAGGGATCTGCTGCACAAGGAAAACGGACCGGAAGAACTCCACACTGAGGTTGAAGGTCTCAAATCTCACTCCTAAAAACCGGATTGTCTTTGATATCTGGTTGCCATTAACCTCATAAACCGTCTGTGGATCATCCACCCCTGTCATGAGCATGCAAATGAAGGACTCCCACTGCGTTCGACTCATGGAGTCCCCCACAAAGACGACCCTCTTCCCTCTCAGCCACTGCAACAGAGCCCGGGCACTGAACCGCGGCAAATCGCATCCCCGAGGTTTCCACCGCCACTTGAGGTACTCGGTGTCCTTCCTCCCATTGGCCAGGCAATTGAACCCCCTCTCTGCAAACGGGCACTGCGAGCTGTTGTACAAGGGGTGCCCCTGATCCGGCACCCAGACGCCGTCGAACACGTCGCAGGACTCGAGATTCTCGCCGCCGGCGAACTCGGCGACCACACGGCCCCGGCCCAAGTACCGGAACACGTAGAGGTACAGAGCGCAGGAGAGCACGAGCGCGACGGAGGCTAGGAAGAAGGCCAAGACGACGCGATCGAACGACGGCCCCGACGGCGACGCCGCCCAGTACCAGTTCCGGTGCGCGGCTCCCGGCGTCGAGACCCGCGGGCTTCCGACGCCGCCCCTCGCTGTGAGCCGCGCGGATGTGCTCCGGCTAAAGCTTCCGCTCACCATTTCCCGTCCTCCGACGCCGCCGCCCGATCTCCCATTCCAGAGCTTCCCTGTTGCCAAATCGGCTTCTAACCAATTCAGGGCAAAACTGTGTCCAACCAAAATCTCTTCGAATCTCGTATGCACGGCTCCGTCCCAATCCAGAAGAGCCGATGAATCTACTTCCTCCGGATTCAAATTCGTCCGGCGGATAGACTCGGATCGATCCGCACGGCGGCACGGCTCCAATCCAAAGCCCGCGCGCAGCTCTCGAAGTCTCGAGATCAGGGAGTTCTGAGCCCGGCCGTAGGAAGACAAAGACAACGACAACGACAGCCGATGCAGGGCACCAGTGCAGATCAGGCACTCACCGAACTCCGGCGACCGGCGGTCCCTTATCCCGTGATCGCCGGGGCGGGCCGCGCTAAGACCCTAAAAGCAGGCCGGCAAAAAAACAGCTCTCGATGCGGCAGCGCCGCGCGGCGCGTTGTGACCCGCGTTTGGAGCGGTGGTGAGGTGGTGAGGTTTCGCGCGGCGCGGCCAAGTCCGAGGAGGCGAGGCGAGGCGGCGACTCTCGCGGTGGTTGCGAAGTGAATGATTTTAAATATTTTGCTGGTGAGTGGTGACCCAAAAGCTGTTTTATGAAACTCTGATTAGGCCGGAAGAGCTGCTAGTGCTTGTCACTGGCATGCGGGGAACGGGTGTCCGTGGGGCCCGCATGGCGGTGGCAGAGTGCGAGGTGATCCGTGTGACGCCTTCTCTTGCCTTTGACTTTGCGCGACGTCGAGAGATGGAGGAAGGTGGTGCACTGGTGCGCCGTGCGCGGCACTGCGCGCCTGCGCGGGCGCGGCGAAATGACGGTCGTGTTCGTGTTCCATGAACGAAAGGGGAGTTGTCGGAGGAGCGGGGAGGACGAAGGAGCAGGGGTATTTGCCGGAGCGACGGCCGTACTTGGGCTGATAAGTCCGATGCTGGTTTGTCGTGGGACTGATAAGATCCGACTGAAATCAACGAGCGAACCGGCTGCCTCCCTCGCCTTCTATTTGCACAATAAAGGCCTGACGTTTATATGGCGCTTCTGTCTTCTGGTGTTGGACCAACTGCCCAAGTTTGGCTTGTGTTGGATCAGCCGACCAGGTTTTAGTCATGTTTGGTTGGCTGGTTCGTATTGTTGCTGGTTCGTTTATGTGATAGAGAAGTATTGCTGGCTGGTTCATGTAAATAGTATCCACGTGAAGGGGTTGGCCAGCCAGTCCCAGCCGATCAGGACGGTATTGACATCACTGTAGTAAGTAGCGTCAATGGATTGTGGGTCACATCTAGTAGGTCTGCTCCTTTGTATACAATACTCCTACTTGTGCATCAGGGCATATGAGCTCGAGGAGGGATTTAGCAAAGCCTGGATTTGCCTTTCCATAATTCGGACTTGGGCTAGATTTCTCGTGCATACTCCTATACTCTAATGGAGTAATTAGAAAGCCTTTTTTTTACTCTAATCAACTACGCTCGAAGTCTTATTTCTCTCCACCTACGTCTACAAATAGTAAGCGTATTTCGACAAGGGAAACTTAAATAAAAAAATGACTGATTATGCAAGTTCAAAATATAAAATTTTGCATCATTCCATTTGTATTCAAGTGCCTTTGAAAAGATACTGAGCTTTTAGCAATTGACAATATATTTGTGAGAGAAACTAAGTGTCAAAATCTTTTTTGAGAAATTATTTTCCTGTCAAAATGTGGTTATCTTTCCAGACTTAGAAAATATAGAAGATTGCTACACAACAACCAGTTATTTTGGGCGCCCTCAACACCTGATTCCTGGTTGTTCAGCCAGTTCTCGCCCTCTCACTCCTCACGAGCCCGCCCCCGGCTTCAAGGCCTAGCGGAGGGCCGCCGCCAAGAAGTGCCGGAGTAGGGCAAGGATGATCCTCACCTCCCTCTTCTGCGGCGCCGACAAGCTCGATGTTGCTGTGCTGGACGGCCTCGCTCGTCAGGGCGACGCCGACGCGCTGGGGGAGAGGGACCAGCTGGTGCTCGCCTCGGCTCTGGAGTGGGGACGCGAGCGTGACGACAATGCCTACGCCTACATCGACGATGGCGACGAGGAGGTGGTGGTGGCGCCCACACCTGAACCGGAGGTAGAAGAGAAGAGAAGGGGTTCAATCTTCGTTTTGATACGTTCTGTCCCTGACATCTAACATTTGTGAACAATTTGATATACATTTCTCAGATATCTACAATCCATATAAACACTTTGTAAATATTTCTGAACCATTTGACAAATATTTCTCTAGGATCTGCAATCCATAGAAATAGAAGTTGTGTTATCCCTAAATTACATCACATTGTCCAATAAATTACAGTGAAGAAATCATTGTAAAATGTAGTAATACGACATTGTAAATATAGCTAAAAGACATCACAAATATATAGATAAACATTAGGTGCCATGAGCTTCTAGAACACTCAGTTGTCAGGTAGATAGATCCAAAATATATAGTTGGGGATTAGCGTCTGACAAAGGGAGCCTCACGTAACTAATGGGACAACTAAGATATAGAAACTTCATTTTCCAAGTCTTTTTGAAAACACGGTTTTTTTTTCAAGTTCTTTCCCATTCATTAGCACTCTGTCTAATCACCGAAGTATTATTGGAACTGCTTTGGGAGGGGGTATTAGTGAGCTAAAATCCCAACACCGCTTCACGAAATCAAGAACTAGCTAGCAGCCTAGCATTTGTGCAGCCAAAGAATCTGCCTTGACGTCTTTGTCACACGCGTATCGGGTCATCGGGTGTCAGTGACCGGAGGGACGACGCGCGAAAGATGTTTTCCTAACCAATCTGATTATCTGAACAAGGTTTGGCCATGCTCAGCAGCTCAACAACTGCTCAAGGCACGACAGTTCGTGCGATACGTGATCGCGGACGCCAGACGGGCTGCAGCCTGCAAGTCCAAACCCCCACGAAAGCCTCTCGTTTTAGGTTTGAAACAAGATCATCTGCCTGTTTTTTCCCGCGCAGCGCTGGGCGCTGGCTGCAGCGGAACAGAAACAGGTCACTGGACTACTACTTCTACTCAAGTGGATGGTGGTGCCGTGGTGGGTTCCACCGTTCCTGCCAGTAGACAGTTTTCTGCAGCTCGTGTCGCCTACAGGCTACAGCTCCACTTGGCACTTGCGGCACGCCCCCGCCGCACGTGCCGCTCAGAGGGCAAAGACTCCAATTGTAAAATCCAGGGGCGGAGCACGGTGTTTTACCTTAAATCCGCCTTCGCTAATCAGGTCTGGTAAAAAAAGTTTGACGCCTTGGGTCAATGGTCCATAACAACAAGGCACTAGCGGCAATATTCTTCCGCATCATCAAATCAACCACGTCACAACTTTCGTGCATTGTGGCTCACGCAATCAGACACTAATCTGCTCCCAATATGCTCCAGTTTTACCAATCTGACTGAGCGCCGAATGACTCCAGCTTGAGTGGCCTGGATGGCCGAGTTCATTGATCGCCGCCCAACAGTCCCCTCCTCGCCACTCACCGGCCAAAGCGTGCAGGCAACTCACGAACCCAACCCCCAGCCAGAGCCAGCAGGTGTCCCGCCGGACAGATCAGACACCCACAGAATTCGTATCCCCATACTTCCCGCAGAAACCCCAGGCAAAACCACTGCACCCACCGGTTTTCCGCCCACCAGCCAAGCCCACGCCACGACCCAGCTCGTCGCATCCCGTCTCCCGGATTTATATACACGCGCCGGCGCTCGCTCGCCGTCCAACAAACTCTCTCCCTACACTCCACAGTCACCGCTGCCTCCTCCTCCCTCCAGTGTCCGGGCGGCCCGTACGCAGCGCAGCCAACCCAACGGACACTATGCAGGCCCACGGCATCGCCGTCCGCGCCCGCGGCCCGGTGGCGGCGCCGGGCCCCGCGCGCCGCCGGCAATGCCGCGTCTCGGCGGCGGCGGCGGTCACGGCGCCCGCCGCGCGCGCCCGCGTGACGCACTCGATGCCGCCGGAGAAGGCGGAGGTGTTCCGGTCGCTGGAGGGCTGGGCGGCGCGGTCGCTGCTGCCGCTGCTCAAGCCCGTGGAGGAGTGCTGGCAGCCGACGGACTTCCTGCCCGACTCCTCGTCCGAGATGTTCGAGCACGAGGTCCGGGAGCTGCGCGCCCGCGCCGCGGGGCTGCCCGACGAGTACTTCGTCGTGCTCGTGGGTGACATGATCACGGAGGAGGCGCTGCCCACGTACCAGACCATGATCAACACGCTCGACGGCGTCCGCGACGAGACCGGCGCCAGCGCCTGCCCCTGGGCGGTCTGGACGCGCACCTGGACCGCCGAGGAGAACCGCCACGGCGACATCCTCGGCAAGTACATGTACCTCTCCGGCCGCGTCGACATGCGCATGGTCGAGAAGACCGTCCAGTACCTCATCGGCTCCGGCATGGTACGCGTCACCATCGTCTTGGACTCTTGGATCCAACAGTTCTCCACTGCAGTGCATTGTGCATTCTCTTTATGTTGACTCCCGAGGCTGGTTTTTCTTTCTGAATTGCATACAGGATCCAGGAACGGAGAACAACCCGTACCTGGGCTTCGTGTACACGAGCTTCCAGGAGCGCGCGACGGCCGTCTCGCACGGCAACACCGCGCGCCTGGCCAGGGCGCACGGGGACGACGTCCTGGCGCGCACCTGCGGCACCATCGCGGCCGACGAGAAGCGGCACGAGACGGCGTACGGGCGCATCGTGGAGCAGCTGCTGCGGCTGGACCCGGAGGGCGCGGTGCTCGCCATCGCGGACATGATGCGCAAGCGGATCACCATGCCCGCCCACCTCATGCACGACGGCCGCGACATGAACCTGTTCGAGCACTTCGCCGCCATCGCCCAGCGCCTCGGCGTGTACACCGCCCGGGATTACGCGGACATCGTCGAGTTCCTTGTCAAGCGGTGGGAGCTGGAGACGCTAGAGAGCGGGCTCTCCGGCGAGGGCCGCAGGGCCAGGGACTTCGTCTGCGGGCTCGCGCCGAGGATGCGCCGGGCCGCGGAGCGCGCCGAGGACAGGACCAAGAAGGACGAGCCCCGGATGGTCAAGTTCAGCTGGATCTTTGATAGGGAAGTGGTTGTTTAGGCACTTGTTGCTGACTGAGATATGTTCTAGTCATGTCGTTATCTGTCAGTGTCTTTGTCACAATGTGTTTATGTATTTGAAATGCAGTAACAGTGTTTCTTTCCGGTACTAGTAAAAAATTCCGCAGAAATATGTTCTAGAATCTTTACAAGAAATGGTACGATTTTGGAGCCCAAATTGCAGAATCAGTTGTGCCACTGAACTGACGAGCGTGCGAAACGGACCCAAAATAGCCCTTTCGTAGCTTGTGAACTTTACCAAAACTTGTACATTATCAAAACTAGTACCGCCGCAGCTGCTTTAAAGAAAATCGGACAGGGGATAACATGAAAGACAACAAGCATAATTTCTTCTGCATATATGCATCCAATGTGTTTCATCTTTCACATTCCTGGGTCCACTTCGGCGCAAAACTATCCCTAGTAACATAGTGGCTACAGTACAATAATTTCTTGATTTCTTCTGCATTTTACTTCCATGGGTTCATTTTCTGAAATCAAACTTTCTGAAACAAACACCAAGTTCAGTGGTTGCAGCTCACAAATTCTAGAACAGGACTGCAATGGTCGACGTCTAGATTTATTTTTTTCTATCAAATGCATCACACAATCATTTCTTCCTTGGGTGAGCTACTGAAATCAGATCGCTGAAAAACATGAAACAAAATTATTAAACAAACTTACAGTAATCTAGTCTGCACAGAGCACTACTGCCTACTGCCTGCACACACTCGGTATTCAGGAATGCCAAGCTCAAGCGAACTGCAGCCAGGAGTCTTCTCGACCCCATGTCGCGCCATTTTCCTCCTAATTTGCTCTGCCTGCTCCCAGCTCTCTGAAGCAGCCATGATATTTGACAGCATGATGTACTCTGCATCATTAGACGATGCATGAGCAGAATGCAATCGATGGATCTCATCCGTTACCAATCTTGACATTTCCGCATCACCATGCACTCTGCAAGCTCCAAGCAACGATCCCCAGATCACCTCGTTGGGTTCCTCAGGCATGTTCTTGACAATCTCGTAGGCTTCCTTCAGTTTTCCAGCCCGGCCTAATAGATCAACCAGGCAACCGTAATGTTCCACTCCCGCTTCAACTCCATACGCATCGAGCTTGTTGAAGATTTGTAATCCTTCATCAACAAACCCTCTGTGCGTGCAAGCTCCAAGCACGGCAAGAACAGTGATCGCGTTGGGCGTCGGCCCAGAGCGCTCCATCTGGAAGAACAGGTAGAGTGCTTCATCGCTCTGACCATGGCTTGCAAGTGCGGAGATCATGGTGTTCCAGCATTCGGTGTTCTTCCGTCTCGTGCTATCAAAGATGTATCGGGCGTACGCGAGGTCACCACACTTGGCATACATGTCGATCAGACCGTTCACCACAAAGTGGTTCTTCCGGATATGCTCCCGTTTAATGAAGTCATGAACTTTCTTCCCCTGCTCTAGCGACCCGAGCTGCGCGCAAGCTGACAGCAAGCTTGCCATGGTGAACTCGTCCGGCTTTACCCTCTCCTGCAGCATCGAATGAAAAGCCTCGAGCGCCTTCTCGCTGCACCCGATTTGTGCGTACCCGGCGATCAGCGCGTTCCAGTTCACCAGGTTCCGCGTTGGGATCCTATCGAACACCGCCCGCGCCTCCTCGGCGTTGCCGACCTTGAAGTATCCCGTGACCATCGACGACCAAACAAAGGCGTTCCTCGCGGGCATCCTGTCGAACACCTCCCTCGCCGCCTCCATGTCCCCCATCGACACGTAGCCATGCACGAGCACGGTCCACGTGACAACGGTCCGCATCCCCGGCGGCGTGGCCTCGAACCACTTCCGAGCCTCCGGCATGTTGTCCATCTCCGCGAACCCACGGATCAGCGTCGCCCACGTGACATACGTCCAGGAGCGCATGCCACCGAACAGCGCCAGGGCACCGTCCATGTCCCCCGCCGCGGCGTACCCGGCGAGAAGCGCGTTGTAACTGATGACGTTCCGGTCCGGCATTTCGTCGAACGCCCTGCGCGCGTCGGCGAGTGCGCCGCACTTGCAGTACATTGACACGATCGTGGTGCCGACGAGCAGGTCGCGGGTGAAGGCGGACTTGAGGGCCTCCGCATGGAGGGACTTGCCGAGTCCAGACTCGGCCAGGGAGGCGGCGGCGGCGGCCTTGAGGAGGACGGGGAGGAGGGGCTGGTGGTGCGTCCGGCGGGGCACGTTCCTGGCGTAGACGAGGGCGGCTTCCCGAAGCAAGGATTGGGAGGCGTACTCCCTGACGAGGTGGGCCCACTTGTCAGGGTCATGGTAGCAACTGGTCATGTAGATGGCGTGGAGTTGCCTCGCTCGGCTGGCCATGCGAGCGGGCCTCGGATTATAGACCCCCCCCCTACTAGGGGTGGCTTGAGCCTTGACCCTAGAGCGCGGCTGGGCGCGCGTGGCGCACTGGCGCCTATGGCCCTCGCGCGCATGGCGCCTTCGGAGTCCGGACCTAAGGCCATCTCGAATACCAAATTAAAATAATATCAATATCATTACTTTTTTTCACACCGGTAAAACCGAACTTCCCTACCATGGCAACGAAATTACATCCAGTTTTGGTAACCACGAGTTCAAACTATCACCAGAAAGACGGATCCACGCGTACGGACACAAAGGGAACTTATGCATGGATACAACCTAACATTACTCGCCAGAACTAAGAGACGGAGCGCCAACAAAAAAGACCCAACAAGTTTAAACGGGTTCCATACAAGGCCTCTGGCCCAGAACGGCGCACAAACTACAGCTTAACATGAAACTGGCTTCATCAACCAGCAAAAGGGATCAGCTGACGATCATCATTGGTCTGAGATTGCACATCTTGCTTGTGGAACGAGAGGGCCGCCGTCTTCACTGCTTTCGCTCCCTGAACCACCTGCTGCTTTAAGCCGTCATTTAGCATACCTGCCCAGTACATAAGAAAAGAGCATATCATGTAAACAATCTCAGTAGGAGATTTGTTTCTTTTTTTGTCGAAGCACACTGAATTTCTGGTCCGCCAAGTTGCCCAGCAGACCGCAACCAGACCCACAGCGTGCATCTGAGAGCCCTAAGGCAGGATATTATGAATCCAAACCCAACATTGATCCATATTCACAGGTCTACAATCAGTTCCTAAAGAATAAGCCAGCAGGCTCCAAATGTACTTAGCGGTTGAGCATTCAAAGAACAAATGATTTCTAGTTTCCTTCTCAGCACAGGAAACACAGTCACTGTTACCTTTCCATTTTCTTTTGCAAAGATTATCTTTAGTCAGAATAACGTCGACACTAACCACATGAAGATTTTGATTTTCAGTGGCATTTTGGCTTTCCAGATTTTCTTAAAATTGGGAACCATAATCATTCTTACATAATTGCTTGTAAATTGACTTGACCGTGAAAACACCAGTCTTTTCCCAGTCCCATTTCGCCTTATCCCTTTCCTCATTTGTGCCACATCAATATCATTACTTATATAATATCATCAAATAAGTATCATTATATTTATCATAAAATATATTTTTAATACTATGCTTATTTGATATCATAAACATAGAGCACCTATATTTGAGGAAAAAGACAGCAGCTGGTGTAGCTGTCCACTAAACATCCTTTTCAGGGACTCCAGAATCTCAACACTGGTACTAGTTCAGAATTCAGATACAAACAAACTAGAAGCGTCATACATGTTCGGTGTCCTACTATGATTGGAGAAGATCCAACACAGCTGCTGCGTAGTCTCCAGAGATCCAAGTCCACACCACCTTCCAGTACCTACCATCAAACTCTTCTAACCTTCATTCAGTGACCAACACTGTTTTACCTCTTCTGCTGCCTCCAGTTGCCATGTGATAAAACCAGCAGGCTATGTTGAGGCTGAGCCGAAGGTGCTCTATGACTATTCACACCCAGATCAGCTCAAGGACATACGATTCAGGTTTCTGGCAAGGAAACATTTTGGGCAGGTTTTATGATCTCAGGCCTGGAGGCGTCAGCCTATACAGGCATGCAGGATTTGGGTTCAGCTAACCAGGCTCCATGCATCACAACAGATACTCTTCCACACCAGAGGCATGTACAGTAGTAGGATCATCTCTTGCCAAAGAAGTGATGGATCTGAGACTGGCCACCTTTGCCTCCAACCTTCGGTGCCTTTGGCCACAAGGCTTGAGACTTGCTATCCTGCAGAAAAATAACACGCAGAAGGGGTTAGTTGTTAGAGATCGAAATTGCTTTTGTTATCTGACAAGGAAAAACGTGAGATGACCTCACTCAACTGACCTGGGATCGGCCAAGGTCCCTCAGGATTTTGACCTTCCCTCCTCGACCATCAGGTCCCACAGCTATCAGGTTGCCTCTGCTTCCACTTGCAGAACCAGGAGCTGTTGAGCCCTTGCACCATTTGCTAATGCTTTTTCTTGCTCCATCCATGCCAGGAATTCCTGGTGCTTGGAAATCATCTGATCGTAGATGAAATACAGTTGCTTTGTAAGTATATAATTTCAGTGTGCAGGAGCAGGTAGAGATGGCATTTAGCGGATATCCATAATTTCTTAGTGATCCCTAAAACACATGGGCAATCAGGATCAAATTACAATGTCAGTTTTTAGTTAGATTTAGAGAAAGTTGTGTCTGTTATTTTTTGCAATTAGAATGGAGGGACAGTTCATAAAATCCTAGGTCCACTTTATGCAACTTGAATGCAAAAGTTGTTTGCCAGAACAGCAAAATTAACTCACCAGAAAGAGAATTGATGTTGTGAATCTGCTGAGGTCCAGAGCCAGATGCCAACCTAGTTGTTTGTTTGGAGATGCCATCAATTGTCAGTGTTTCACTCTCCAATGTTGAACTTGTCACGTTAGTTCTCACGGAAGGACTCTCCTGAGGAATATGCAGTTTGGTCCCAATGTTCGCCATAAAGGTTGATTTTACAGTTGCTTCTCTGTGTTTGAGGAAGGGTCCTCCTTTTGCTACATGTGTGGTTGTGCATTCAAATGCCATGGACTGTTGGTCATCATTTTGACAAAAACTAGATGTTGAGACTAGCGGTCTCAGACAGCGTGGAGGAGACAGAGGCCTCCACCCGCCGAGCGTCGCCCTCAGGCGGAGGCTCGGGATAGGCACGACAGGTGGGCGTGTAGGAAACTGGCACGGAAAGCTAAGGTTTCATTAATTCATCCACCATCCATCTGCACTGTTACAAGTGTTCCCTATTTATAGGGCTCAACTACTTCTTGACAGAATTTATTACAATGCCCCTCAACTGCTACAGTACATTCCCGGAATATTCCGCCACTAGTCTCTTGTTTGCAAGGCAATCCTGCCACACCGTCTTCAAGTAATGGGCCTCCATAAGCGGCCGGCCCACCGTGCCTCGGTCTTCGGCCCAGAGGCCCGGGTTCCCGACGCTGGCCTCCGTCTTCAGGGGCGCGCCGCTGCCTACGCGGGTCTCCGCCGGTCCGGTCGGAGACATCATCCGTAAGTCTCCGCCCGGCCGCGCGGGGGCCATGCTGGCGCGCTCGCGCGGACCACGGGCGCCTGCGCTTAGGTACCTGCACACACTTAGGCAAGATTGTTTGTTTGATTAGTTCGGGGGTGGGGCGGCCTCCGCCCTCAGCGCCGGAGACGCCCGTCAGCCGAAGCGGGGCGGCGTCCGCCTGAGCGGCCGGAGATGTCTGTGCTTGGCCCAGGCGGAATCCGCGACAAGCTCACTGAGCCTCGTGCGGCGCCCTACGAGCATAGCTAGGAAAGTTCCTTTAGTCACCGCCAGATCTCCGCCCTAAGACGGTCGAAGACGCCTTGGTGACACCTCGCCGTTGGAGGCCTTCGCCACCCGCCGAGGCCGTGTTACAACAATTCCCCCCTTTTGAGACCACGGTTCGCCTGAGCGTGCCGTGAGCTCAAAACGCCTTGACCAAAGGCGTCCGCGGGGGCGGAGGCCACACGCATTGGCGTCTCCGAGCGAGGCCCCACTACTTCCCCCCTGGCCCGCTCTGGCGCGGCCGTTGGTCTCGTTGAGAGTAGCCGTTGGGCAGCAAATCTAGCCGTTGTCCTACGGTGTGGCCGTTTATGCCTTATCAGTTTCCGTTGTATACCTTGCGACTTTTTCGGAGATGACCGTTGTGCGGTGGCGAGTTCTCCGGAGATGACCGTTGTATGGTGGGAGCCGGGCCGCCTACCTGCGGCCTATATAAGGGCGTGGTTGGTGACGGGGTCCCCCCCCCCCCGCATTGCTCATTCGCTTTCCTTGCCTCTGAGAAATCGATGTCTGCTCTCTTCGCTTTCGCCTTTTGCTGCCCTCGCGCGTTCCGTCTTTCTGCCTGCGTCTTGCGCTTAGGCTGTTGTCGCGGTGACTCTCTTTTCCGCCTCCGCCCATACTCGCCGGCCCGCCTTCTTCGGACCCTATCGCCACCTTCTCGGCGTTAGGGCCGCCGGCTGGGGTGTGCGTTTTGAGGAGTGCATGCTTGCCTCTGCCTCCGCATTGGAGTTTGAAAAGCTAGTGGAGGAGGATTTGGGAGTGTCTCTGCGTCCGTCGAGGAACTGATCGCTCATGATTCCAGAGACATGGCGATAAAGTCATGGGATTTTGGCCCCTCCTCCATTACTGAAGAGGCAATCGCGGAGATGTTGAAGGAATCGTGTTTTCCTTCTTCGAGGGTAAAAATCCCTCCGCCTGGCCAGACTGTTTCGGAACAGGAGGAGGGATATGCGGTGGTCTTTGGGACTTCTTCACCTGCGACCTCCGCCTTCCTTATATCCCCTTCCTCCACCGGGTGTTGGAGACCTTCAATGTCCAGCTCCATCATCTGACTCCTACTGCCTTCCTCACGCTCAGCAAATTCTGCTGGGCGTGTGTTTCTTATGGTGCCGAGCCGGATGTGGACACCTTCTGCGCGTACTACGAGCTGCAGAAGCAGCCGAAGAAGAAGGAGGTGCGGGATGGCAAGGAGGTGGAGGTGACCTACTAGTATGGTAGTTGCACCTTTATGTCGAAAAGGAACCAAGGCGTAGACCGCCTGGAGATTTCTTTTTGCCAGAAGGGCAAGTGGGACCGCGGCTGGCTTGAGCAGTGGTTCTACGTGAAGACCTACGGAGTCCGCGGCACTACCGAGGATGGTGCGGAGGTTTCGGAGTATCCATTGACTTCAAGAATGGAGGAGATGGCGCCGCACACGTGCCTGGAACCACCGGAAGAGATGTCTCCGGCGAGGGTGGCTTGCGACCAGGCTTTTGCGGCAGCGTGCCGCTACTCCGGAGGCCGCGACCTGGTGGAGGAGATTATGGCCTCCAACTACTGGTCCCTGGGCAAAGACAACCCAACCTTTTGGCTGGAAC